TCTACTTTTCAACTGACTTTTGATTTGCTGTGATATATTTTCTGATGTGCTGTGGCTTTCAGGTTTAATGTCAATTTCCTTGTAAGATATATGATTTGCAAAAACAGTAGGCTTGAGAAATGACTCAGTTGCTAAGGTTATACACTGCTCTTGCAGAAGATCTGAGTTCAGTTCCCAGTGTCCACATTGGTCTGCTCCACAGGATCAGATGTCCTCTTCAGATATCTGTGGACAACTGCATTCATGTGCACATACCCACAGTTTTAACAGATTTGTCCCATTTTGTTAATTTTCCTACTTTTTCTTTATCCTTTCTTCTATTGGTAATCTCTTCACCCCTTTTGGAAAAGAGCCAACTGTAAATTGAGAGACAGCACTGAATTGATGCTAGCCACCTACGTCGTATCCCAGCCTAAGTGTGGGATCCCCCCCCATGTCAGTATTTCACTGTCCTAATTGCTTTAGCCTTCTGATTAGTTGTGAGTGCAAAGGATGAGGGTTCACCTTTGTTCTTGTTGTCAAGATTGTTTTGTCTATTCATATTCCTTGAGTTTCCATAGAAATTTTACACAAGTTATGTCCATTCTGGCAAAGAAGCAGAGGGCGGCAGTGACTGATCACATCTTCAGTAATGTTTTCCCTGTTCTTTAGTTGTGAAGCCTATGCCAGAGGAGATGTCTGGTGGCCAGCCAGCTGAGATACTTCCCTCCCACAGTGCTGGGGTCACAGCTGCTCACAGAACCACACTGGCTTTTTGTGTGAGTGCTGGAGATTCGAACTCAGGTTCTCATAGCCACAGCAGAAAGTCCTTTTGCCCACAGAGCCACCTCCCATGATCCCTTGGTTGTCATTCGTCTCTGTGCCTCTGTCCTGGGGTGGTTCAAATGTGGACACCCCCTTGGCTTGCAGTAAGTGAACAGCTTGTGGGGTTTGCTGTGTGGAGAGAGTTAGGAGGAGTAGCCTGCTGAAGGATTTGAGAGTTTGAAGCCTCACCCTCCTTGTGGTTTGCTCTCTCTGCTTCCTGTCCAGTTGAGAATTGGAGCCCTCAGCTTCCTGCTGTGGTCACCATGTCTGCTGCCATGACTTTCTGCCATGATGCACTTTTATCCCTCTGAAGCTGTTAGCCCAAGTGGACTCTTCATTCTGTGTAGTTGTCTTGGTAGGGTTTTCTTTGTTTTTAATCACAGAAACAGAAAGGTAACTAATATATGTAGCCTCTGTCCAATTAACACAGAGGTCAGCTCTGTGGGTAAAGTGTTCCTTTAAATGTCTCCAACACATCTTTCCCAGCTGCCACAGAAGCATTTCCACTTATGTGTAGAGACCCATCTTCAATATCTAGAACTCTGTAGCTCTGTCTTTCTGTCACTCAATTCTTGTACAATGACTCAAGACCAGTCAGAGAGGGAATAAAAACCCCTTCCCATCCAAGTACTAACCAGGCCCGACCCTGCTTAGCTTCTGAGATCAGACGAGATCGGGCGCGTTCAGGGTGGTATGGCCGTAGCATCATCATCAAAAAAAAAAAAACTGGAACAAGACTCAGTACCTAACCCCGCAGTGTTCATGCTATGGGACAAAGAAAGAAAAATATGAAAAAAAACCCTTTCCCAACTCCTTTCTCAACATGCATATGCCTTGGGTGTGGCCTTCTAGTATTCCAGAAGTGTCAAGAGTCTTTTCATAGCACCTCCTTGTCATTGTCAACAGACTTCGTAGGCTTTGACTACCTTCAGGCTCGGCTCACTGGTACCACCACCTCGGGAGATGTGGATGGTAAATATTTGCCTGTAGCCAGGGCCGTTCACCGTGAGGATGCTGAGTCACCAGAGACCATTCTGTTCTCTCACAGAGCTCGTCTGGGAATGGGGGGAAGAACGGCCTGGGGAGGCTGGGGAGGGGCTCCAGGTCTACACCACTTCTCCAGCAGTGGCTGAACTGCCCAGACTTCACAGCTCATATACCTACAGGCATATTGTTTTTTATTTTTATTTTTTACATTCCAACCCCAGTTCCCTTCCGTCCTCTCCTTCCAGTCAGTCCCTCTACTCCCCCCACCTCCCATCTACTCCTTGGAGAGGGTAAGGCCTCCCCTAGGAAGTCTGCTAAGTCTGTCCCATCATCTCATTGAGGCAGGACCAAGGCGACTCCCCACCCCCACACCCCTGTGTCTAGGCTGAACAAGGCATCTCTCCATAGAGAATGGGCTCCACTAAGTCAGTTTGTGCATTAGTGTTAGATCTTGGACCCCCTGCCAGTGGCCTCACATATTGTCCCAGCTGCACCATTATCACCTGTATTCAGGGAGTCCAGATCAGTCTTATGCAGGTTGCCGAGTTGTCAGACTGGAGGCAGTGATCTCTCACTAGCTCGGGTCAGCTGATTGTGTGGGTTTCCCCATCATGGTCTTGAATCCTTTGTTCAAATTATCACTCCTCCCTCACTTCGATTGTACTCCAGGAGCTTGACCCATTGGTTAGTTGTGGATTTCTGCATCTGCTTCCATCTGTTTCTGGACAAGGGTTCTAGCTTCCCTGGGGTTGTGGATTGTAGGCTGGGTATCTTTTGCTTTATGTCTGGTATCAACTTACAAGTGAGTACATGCAATATTTGTCTTTCTGGTTTTGGGTTACCTCACTCATGGTGGTTTTTCTGGTTCTGTCCATTTCAAACATATTGTTTTTAAAGGCTTCCTTGGAGCTGGGGCAAATGTCTAGGAACTCTGAAGTTGACGCACTGTGAAAGGCAAGGTCTCTGCTGAGTTTTTGCTGTTGGTGGTGGTGGTGGTGGTTTTAAGCATTACCAGAGCTGTTGGTCATGTTGACGTGTTGAGATACTTTTCAGATCAGGAAGAAGTGAACCTTGACACTTTTTGCTATGGTATCGTTGTTCTTGTGGATGAACAGAGCTTAGAAGTTGTTACATCATCATCTCTCTATTTATTTTAAACTTATATTTTCTCTTAGGGCAGACAAGACTAGAATAGCATACAATGATGCCGGGACACTGAGGAGTGAGCACGAGGTTAATTTGGGATAAGGAGTTTCTAGACAGAGGAAATGGGTAATTTCACTGTTGTTCTTCTGTTTAAGTTCCCCTGAGGCAGTATGATACACAGTCATGTGAGCTTGGGACAGTAGGTGGGCCTTATGAACAAAAATCTTGTGTTCTTGGTGTCTGATTTTTCCATCCCATAGCAGATAAGGAGAATGAATATTACAGCAGGCAGACAGGTGATTAGCAATCTGAGTTATGAAGAATCTGGTATAAAAATCAGATGGATGGCCAGTGAGGACACACAGGTCACCCCTAGGCATCGCTTTCATAGGCCCTGTTTATGTTAAAATGGAACTGCTAATTTGTGCAATTGATAGTGCCTCCTGTATCTTAGCAATCCATTCTGCCAAGAATTGGTACAGTGTTTGTTTGAGGTCTGATTCTTAAAATTGTAGACCCATTTACTTAGTACAGCTGTGGCATACAAATGACACTCGAATGAGACACCTCTGTCTCCTTGGTGACAGATTCCATTGATGGAAAAGATTGAGTAACAATCCAGCTCCATGCATCATGGGAATCAGAGCCTCTCTCAAGCTAAGCATGTTACCAATGGACAGTTTCAATGCGAAGACACAGGTGGAGGCATGCTTCACCATACTAAAAACAGAGCGTTGACACACAGTAGTTTGATTCCCCCTGCTCTCTGTACTAAGTCCTTCAGGTTTGTAAGCAACACTACCGCCTCTGCTCTTGGCAAAGCACACATTGGTCTGCCACCAGACACATCGCTAGTAAGGTTTCCAGCTGCATGAGATGCAAAGGGTTAACTGATGTCTTCAGAATAAGGTCTGGGCAACATCTGTGTTATCTGGGGACACTGTGAGGGCAGATCGTTCACCATGTCACAAGAGCAAAGTGAGATCTCTAATGTGAGCTGCAGACAGGATCTCAGCGGGTGGGGTAGAGCAGGATTCCTAGCTCAAATGGTGGAAATGATTGTAGAGGAGCTGCCCACTTTAGCTGGTTTGATAGGACCATCTTGAGGATCAAGGAGCCACTTACAGCAAAAAAGACAGCAAAACTGCAAGTTTCCTGTTCCATGTGGCCTAGAGAGCAGGCTCACTCTTCCAAGCCCACATCCTACAGAGCATACTGTCAAATGTCTACATTGGCAGCTGGAAGGTTTCCTGAGACCCTGTCAAATCATGGGATACTCGGCTGGGCAGAATAGCACACATGGGCCAACAAAACACAAATCATCTTTGGAGGGGGCATCCCAAGGACTTTCTGTTGGTGGTAGTTATTACACAGAGAAATACATTTCAAGAACCACAGTTGTAAAGGGTGTATTTAGTAATGTAGGGGTGGCTAGCCATGTGAGTATTTACCAGGAGTTACATGGAGCGGCAGATAGACATCTTGCCAAATCACAAGTGTTTCCCTGAGATGATCTCAACTCCTTCTTTAAGTCTAGTACAGTAAAACCCAAGCCAGTATTGTGATGCTGGGGTACATTTGAGTGGCATGTCCTTCCTTAGAGAAAGGCCCCGATATCCTACAATTCCTAGATTAAAAACTATTCTGAAGACCAGGGAAATGACTCACTGGGGAAAGTGCTTGCCACCCAAACATGACAACCTGAATTTCTATCATCTACGTCAGAGCTGAGCCTGGCAGCATGAGCTGTAATCCAAGAGATAGGCTCCCTGGAGCTCCCTGCATTCAGTGAGAGAGGCCATCTCAAAAAAATAGGATGCAGAGGGATTTAGGGAGGTGCACGGTCTTGATCTTTGGCTTCCACATGCACGTATGTACTCCCACACAGGTGCATGTGGATACGATACACACACATACGATTCCAGCTGGGATGTCATGTATTTGTAAATACCCCACAAATATGTCTTCAGTGGTATTCATAAGGTTGCTATTCGACTATGAGGCACCCAACACCAGTGTGCGTGTCGGTTTAGCTATTAAAACGCTGTCGTTTCTTCCTACAGTGCCTTGGCAGGTTACAATGGTACCATCTTCGCATACGGGCAGACAGGCAGTGGCAAGACATTCACCATCACAGGTGGGGCTGAACGCTACAGCGACAGAGGCATCATCCCAAGGACTCTGTCATATATTTTTGAGCAGTTGCAAAAGGTAAAGAAACAATAGTTCACATTTAATTTGATATGTTCAGCAGAAATACACCGTGCTGAGGAAGTGTGCTAAGGCATCTATCACACCTAACCCACCTGGGAATGTGCTATTGTGAGTAACTCCAGCCTTCCCATTTAAAGAAAGGTTCAGACTTTGCTGGAGGAGTGGGGATTAAGAACGTGCTCCTCATACCAGGGCTAGGAGTTGATCCAAGGCCAGAGCTCCATTTGAGAGAGAGGTCTTCTAGGGTGGGGTGGGGTGTCCAGGTGTGTGGGGATGGTAGAGGTTGACATCCAAGGTCCTCTCTTGCTCTCCACTGATTTTGTTTTGTTTTTGATTTTTGAGATAGGGACTCTTTTTGTACGAGGGCTCACTGATTTGATTGGCTGACCCGTGAACTCTGGGCATGTCCTCCTCTCCTCCTGGCCCAGCATTAGGGTTACTGCCACACGCTACCATCACCAGCCTTTCACATGGGTGCAGGGGATCTGAACTCAGATCTGCATGCTGGCGCAGCTCGCCCTTCGTCCACTGAGCCGTCTCCCTGCTCGGATAACTTGTTTCTTACACTCTGCAGCTAGGAACCCTTCTACTAAAACAGCTCTTTCTATAGCCCCTAAAATGCCAAATCAGTCATATGGCATGATTATCTCTTCCCATGCTAATAATAGAAGCTGGGGGTATTTGCCAGAATATAAGCCCTACTGCAGCCAGGAGAATCATATTCTAGAGGCATTCCCTTTCTCTACTGTATATGTCACCTACTTGTGAATGGTTTGCCTACATGTGTGTCTGTGAACTATACATATGCCTGGTGCCCACGGAAGCCAGAAAAACCAGAGTTAGGATGACTGTGAGAAACCACATGGGCACTGAGAACTGACCCCAGGTCTTCTGCAAACGGAACAAGTGCTTTAAACCACTGAGCTGTCTCTCCAGGCCCCAGGGTGTGACTTTCGAATACAACATTTTTGTAACTAACAAACTAGGCATCTTTAGTCCCATTTTGTAGTTGGAAACTATAAAACTAAGCCTCCGTTGAGGTAGTTCCTCTGGGTCCACGTCTTACAAGAGCCAGCCTCCAGCTCTGTAAGCCAACCTGAGCGTTGCCTTGCCACACTTCCTCTGAGGCTCAGACTGGCTTTGTTTTGTTGGCTGTGTGAGAATCCATTTCCTGTGATGAGTCATTTAACTTCTGTGGGTTTCTGCTTTCCATTTTCTGAAAGCAAGGGTTGAACTGCTCTGGAAGCTAGCTCTCTGTCTTCCTTCCAGCTCCAGCAAGCCCTTGAATTCTGTTTAAATCTCTAACTGGGTTGTTGTAACCGTCACTCTGGAATTCCCTACTGAATGTTATTTGCATTTTGAGTTGCGAAGACGAGAAGAAATTTTGCTGAGATCTGCGTAATTCTAATTGCTGGCCAGAAAGCAGCAATTACCATTAGTTTAGCTCCTCTCTCAGTGGCCCAAGAGCGCCAAACGTGTGTGCCAGAAAGCGTGCAGGAGGATGGGCTGAGCAGAGTGCCCCACCCACAGCCCTTCCCATTCCTGTTTCCCTGACACTACCTGGATCGATTGCCTTGTTCACTTATTCCACAGACAGGGGCTGTAATTTCCAATAGCTGTTGTTGCCATGGACCAACGTGGAAGGCTGCCATCTTAGAAGGATGGGCAAGCTTGTGTAGGCTGTCCAGGTTCTGAGGATGTGTCCCACTGATGGCATGTGGCTTCAAGTCTCAATGCCATGGAACTTCTGTCGGGGAACAGACATGGTATTTTAAGATCTTGGGCTGGAGAGATGGTGCAGCAGTTAAAATACTCAGCTTTTATCCAAACACCCATATAGGCAGCTCTCACTGTCTAACTCCAGATCCAGGGGACCCAACACCCTCCCTCTTTCAGCCTCTGCAGACACTGCATTCTCATACCCACAGAGACAAACATGCAATTAAAAGTAATAAAAACAAAGGGTTAAAGTTCTTAGCACACTGGGTATGCTTAGTTTATGGTCATTATTACCATGCCATTAATGTTTGCATATGCAAAGACTTAATGATTGTTACCATACTCACTAATATTCATATGTTATTGTGGCCTAATGATACCTGGCTAGTTTCAGAAAACCTTTTGAAGCTCTCAGAACAAATGAAGCCAATTTCCCAGGTTAGGCTGGATAGAATAAATAAATCCTCTCCTAGTGGAAAGTACGTTCTGTGTCTTCTAAAATAGTCTCTGTGCTTACCAAAGAACACCTCTGGATGTCTCAAAGTGTTCAGGGCACTAACCATCTGCCAGGGTTGTTGGGAGATGCCATGTCATTGATGTCACTCAAAACCTTGTTTAGTTCTGAATCATCCCATGTGATTTCCTGGACTTGGAGAAAGCCCACCAGACCAACAGCCAGGGAAACTGAAATGGACCAGTTTCTGCCATGGGTCACACACATTCCTTAGAATCACAGTGGATTGTACTAAAACAAGCGGGGCAACTTAAAGTGCCCCAAGAAGTGTGTCCACACTGGAGACTAGAAAACAAAGGCTTAACTACAGATTGCCCTAGGCCAGAGAGCTCAGGTTGAGAACAAATCCAAGATCTCCTTCAGTACAAGCTGAGAGCCCAGGCCATGCCGTGCTGTGGATGGCCAGGGATGAGACCGCTTTTCCACTGCACTGGGAGGGTTCCATGTGTTTCAGAGTTAGTCTCCTTACACTGGAGCATTGTGAGGTTCACACTTGTTTGGGGCAGAAGAAGTGTCTGTCTGCAGGAAACACGTGTGTTACATTACAGTCTGGCAATCCAGATGCTGAAAAGGACCAAGAAAGGTAGCTTGCCACATCACTCAGTGAGCCTGGAGTGTGTATGCCAGAAAACTGCAGGAGAGGCCGAAGCTGGAGGAGCCAAGGCATCGTCCCCATCCTCGGGGCAGTGGGCCAGCGGTTTCCCTGACTTCTTACCCTGATTCTACAGAAGCGATGTCCCCATTACAGACGATGGCTCACGTTCACTCTTCTTTTCTCGTGCTCATTCCTCTTATGTCCTTGTATTATTTTAACTACCTTGACCATGGCTGTAACAAAATACCCCACAAAAAACAGGTTAAAGTAGGGTGTGTTTTGCCTCAGTGTTTGAAGATATAAGTTCACCATGTAGGGAGGGCATGGTGGTGGGAACATGACCTGACTGGTAACGCTGTGGGCACAGTCAGAAAGCAGTGAGGAATGCTGGTACTCAGCCCCTTTGTCTCTTTCCCTCACTCAGTTCAGGACTCCAGCCCATGGGAAGGTGCCATCCATATTCAGATAGGGGGTTCTTTCCTCGGTTACACGTCTCTGGAAACCCAACACACCTCCTTCTCCATTTGAAGGCTTCTAGACATAATACTTTTAAACAGTTACCAACAGCAATAACAGTAGCAACAGCTGCAGTGGTTCATTGGTGGCCAGGTATTTTTGGTAGGACTTGAAATGTAGATAGCCTTCTCTTATATCAGTTTTGCAAGACCAGGGGTATTTCCTAACTTATCAACATATGGAACCATGTTAGGAGCACGCCTACTCTAGCAGAGGATGGAGTGTCACTGCCGTCACCCACACTGACTGCGCACAGTGGCCTGTAACCCTAGCTCAAGGGGATCTGACGCCCTCTTCTCCTCTTCCTGGGTACCTGTGCTCATGTGCGTGTGCACACACACTCACACTCACACTCGCACATACACACTCTACACGCACACACATGCATACACACATTCACACACACACACTCACACTCTACACACACACTCTACACGCACACACTCTACACACACATACATACACACATTCACACACACACACTCACATACACTCTACACACACACTCTACACGCACACACTCTACACACACATACATACACACATTCACACACACACTACACACATACACACACACTCTACACACATATACTACACACACACTCTACATGTACACACATACATACCACATTCACACACACACATACACACTCACACACACACTCTACACACACAGAGTAAATAACTAAATCATTTTTAAAAAAGAATATAAAATTCTGAGTAGTAGGAAAGTAAAGGAAAATTAATTATAAACATAAGTGGAAACTTTGGCTCCTGGTCTTTGAACCAGAGGATTAAGCCCTGCTGTTTTATGAATCGACTGTTCACAGAATGTCACAAATTATAAGTTTATTTGTATTTTCTTAGTAACCTTTTGGGGGAATCTGGAAAGTAAAAAATGATGTATTATTCAGTTCTACAACCAGCTTGGCTCACTACAAGTGTATATTGCCCTTTTATGTATAATATGGAACCAGTAGAAACTAACAGACTTATAATCATGGATATTGGCTATTACAAAAAAAAACACACAAAACCAGAAAGCAAACAAAAGCACTTCACACATATGGCCACAGCAACTCAGAAGTGTCACGAGCTGCAAAAGGAAATGGAAAGGAAAGCCCAGAGACAAATGGTGCGTCTCTCTCTCTAGCCCAACAGTTGTTTTCAGACATTAAACAATGCCTTTTCCTTCTCCAACCAGGATAGCAGCAAGATCTACACAACACACATTTCTTACTTGGAAATCTACAATGAGTGCGGCTATGACCTGCTGGACCCGAGGCACGAAGCCTCCAAGCTGGAAGACCTGCCGTGAGTAACAGGACAACAGAGACCAGCGGGAAATGGTTTTCAGATGTCTGTTCCCATTGTTTCCTTTGAAATCTGCTCCGTTTCTGGTCTCGATCATAATTAGCAAACATTGGATCGCAGCATCTTTCCGTAATGAGCTGGATGGAGTATGGGAACTAAGATTGCTTGAGACGTGTTTCTCCGGGGGGTCTCGGTGGGCGTGAGCGTGAGAGCGCAGTGGATGGTCTCAGGGCATTTCAAGACTGGGGGCAGCACTTTACCCCGCCAAACGAAGCCCCACACTCCTTCAATACACCCTCCTTCCAAAAGCAGTGTCAGTCTATGCAGGAGTGTCACAATCTGAGAGGAAGGAAAATGGGAAGTGGGATCGGCACCAGCTGTTTACAGTGGGATGCGGCTTCACATCTGCTGGCAGAGGACACTCCCCTGCCAGGATCACACAGTGTTGCTGTTTGCTATTTGTTTGAAACCTGCCTGAGTTTGATGTAGTAATTGGTAATCATTCATGCACTTATTTCCAGGTGTTTTTATGTATTGGAAGTTGCCTACAACCAAGAAAAAAACGTTTTAAAGATTCATTTTATTTTTAAGTGTGCGTGTGTGTGTGTGTGTTTGTGTCCCGCACATGAGTGCAGATACCAGTGGAAGCCAGAAGATTGTCCAGTCCCCTGGGGCTGGAGTTACAGGTGACTGAGCTGCCTGGCCTAGGTCCTGGGAACTGTATTCAGGCCCTCTGGAAAGCAGAGCGTACTCTTAATTACACAGCCATCACTCCATCTCCAAAATAGATATTTTTATTATTCTCATAAAATACTCTAAGGTAATGCAGAAATACGTGTGAATTCTCTGTGGAAAAAGATAACCAATTGACTATTGATAATGCAAGTTTCATATTCAATAAACAAGTTATTAAATTAGTAAAAAGATTAGAAATTAATGAAATAACTCATAATCCATATGCTATTTCATTAATATTTGTTGAGGCATTTCATATATCACCTTTTTTATGTTTACAAATTTCCCAGGATGGAGTCAGGAAGCCCAACAGTTATTTGTATTGTAAATACTGGTGTAACAGGGAGGAGAGAAGAAAGACCACTGTGGGATAGGAATGGCGGTGTCAGACAGAGGGCATGGGTAGAAGGTCTGTGCTGTGAGTGGGGGGTGACGGCGTTAGGTGATGGGACTCTGACATGGGCAGCCCTGCTCAGCACGGTCACTGTCCTTATGAGGGAGGAGCTGGCGCTGCCTTGTGCATTCTGAAATGCTGAGGACTCCAAGAGAAGTCGGTAGCTTGTAATCCAGAAGAGAGGGAGCTGACTGCTTGATTTGGGACTTGGAGCCTCTATGACTGTGAGATCTGTTTCTGTTGCTTACAGTCTGCCAGGTTTATTTCCTGTCCCAGGAGCTCAGCTGCACTGCAAACAAATGTCACCTGAAAGACATCTCAGGAGCCACTGGAACCAGTTTGAGGAAGGGCTTGAATGTCAGGTTTCTGGTTTGAGGCTCGTATTTGTTCTGGTCAACTTTTTGTTTTATAGTCTCCAGAATGACTGACATTCGGGCAGATTAAATCCTGTTTAAATTGTTTTCAGTAGCTAGGCATGGTGGCACATGCCTTTAATCTCAGTATTCTGAAGGCAGGCAGATCCATGTGAGTTTGAGACCAGCCTAGTCTACAGAGTGAATTCCAGGACAGCAAAGGCAGAGAAACTCTGTCTCAATAAACAAACAAAAATGCTCTCAATATATTTAGAAGGCTGTTTGATACCATGTCCATAATGGTAATAGGGTCATCCACCGGGCCTATGAACTCCCCAGCCCTGGGATCCAATTAGAGAGCCATTGGTTGCACCCATGACGTTCATGCCTCTGATACATCCAGGAGGTTATCTTTTCAGACCAGGTATTATTGTAGCTAGCAAGGTTCACAGCTAGATAAGACCATTGCAACTTTTCTCCCCCAGCAGCCTGCATAGCACCTTCCAGAACTATGGAAGTTACCAGCAGGGAGAAAGCTTCCCCGTCAACGGGCTTCATTCTCCAAGTCCTCTGACTAGAGTGTGTAGTGTCTTCCACAATAGTCTTACTATCAAGTTCTTCCAGGCAGCTAAGAGTGATGGCAATGACCGCATTGTTTGGGATCCTCTGGGACTCACGTCCATGACCAATTATTCAGGGGGAGGTTAAAAAATTGTCTTCAGTTAGGATCATCAATACCCAACAGTTTGCAGACATTAAGCAATAATCTAATCCAGGAACAAAGGGCTTGTCTCCGTTAAACAGAGAGGAGAGCGAAAGCAGAGATGTTTGCAAGGAAAGGGGTGGGGGAATGAGAAATACCGACAGGTTACACCTTGAACCCCAGGTTTGACCTGATTAGAACTGAAAGGTGAATGGCCGAAGGCTGGTTTCTTCACTCTTGGCCTAGGACATAAAACCCAGAGAGGTTTCACTCACCCCGAATCTCCGAACAATTACCTGGCAATAGAGCAAGAATTAAAATCCAGACACTCACACTCTTTCATGCTGGAGGGGCAAGAAGGGCTCCAAGACGTTTTATGCAAGGGGGCTGTGAGAATTAAGGAGTCCGTTTAAAAGATTCCCATCAAAAACTTGAATGGGTAAGGATGAAGACTTTCGAGGATGTGCCTTTGTGTGTGTGGCAAGGCGTACGTCTTGCTTAGCTTAATAGTTTGCCTAATGCCAGTGCCTTCATGTTTTTTTTTAATTATCTATGGTGCTGAGGATGTGGCTCCATGGTTTAAGTGGTTGTCATGCAAGAGTGAGGACCCGAGTTCAGATCCCAAGAACCCCATAACCGCGGGTAGTTGTGGTGGCCAGCCTGTAATTCAAGCTTCATCTGCCTAGGGAGATTAACCATATTGGCGAGCTAAGTTTGATTAAGAAATCCTGCCTCAGCGATTAAGGAGGAAGAGCAATTGAGGATGCTTCCAAGCACCAACTTTGCACACATCCGCATGCACACCCACACACAGCAAACATGCCTGTGCACACATGCACATGTGAAGATGGAAAAGGGAAGAGACAAGGAGGGAGAAGAGGAATAGCAGGCCACGCCCACGAGGATCCCCTGCACAGGGTGAGGCGTGGCCAGGATGAGAAAGGGCCACTCTCAGAGAACAGAAGCCAGAATCTTCAGAATCTAGCCACAGCTAGAAACTTAGACAGACTCTTTCATTTGTCTGTGTTTCTTTATACAGTGTAGGCACTGGATCAAACACTGCTTATTAGCCTTCTAATATCCAGTGTCTACAGGTCAAGAATTGGTGACGTTCACAGTGTGGGCCTTTCTTGGTGACTTCTCCCCACCTTACCCAAGAATAGTGATTTGGATGCTTTCTGATGTTCCCGTCTGCAAAAGAGCAAGGACAATGATCCCCGTGTCTCTGCATCCCCAAGCATGCTTGGGCCTTAATAGTGACTGTCAGTGCTGGTCAATGTCATGGGCTTGAGTTGTCCTTCAGTGACTTGTCCTCCTGTCAGTGTGATACTGCTGATTCAGTTACAGGAAAACTCAGGACACATGCATATTGACACACTAAGACATGCACATTATAAGCCAGTAACAAAATATAAATTTAAATGAACACATACATGTTGCCACTACAAAAATTAATTAAATCTGTCATAGACCTAAATATACAGTTCAAAAATAAAAATCTGGAGGATTATGTGAAAGGAAATCTTGGAAAATTAGGGTTAGGCAGTGGGTATGTAGATATGACACTAAAAGTATGATCCATGAAAGAGAAAACTACTGGAACTTCATTAAAATTAATTTTTTGTTGTTCTGTAAAAGCCTCTTTTAAGAGACTGAATAAACAAGGCGTGTGCTCAGAGAGAATGACTACAAACACCTGTCCACAGAGTTTACACCCAGAGCCAGGGAGATGGCTCAGGGCTGAGAGCATTGGCAGCAGTTCCAGAGGAACTGAGTTTAATTCTCAACTCCCATGCGTCTGCTCACACCATCTGTAACTCAAGAGGATTTGGCATCTCCTGGCCTCCACGGGCACTGCATGCATGTGTTGTAATACATGTGCAGGCAAAACACAGATACACATAAAATAATAAGCTGTAAAATGTATTTATATGCAGGATATACAATAACTCTTAAAAGCCAGACAGGATAAAGCAATGAATGACTTCAAATGGGACAGATCTCACCAGTCATGTCTCTAACAACTAAATGCACAGATGAGAAGTTAGCACATGCAAACAAGCTGGGCACCATCTGTAATTAAAGAAAACAACAGTGGGGGACCACTGTGTACCTGTGAGAATGGCTAAAATCCCAGAGTCTGACAATACCGAAGGCTGGCAAGGTTGTAGAACAGTGGAAATTCTCACTGCTGGTGGTAATGCAGACTGATGTGGTCACATCTGTGAGACCAACTGGAAGCGTCTTATAAAACCAAACATCCATTATACAACACAGCAATTGTGTGCCCAGATGTTCACCCAATGAGCTGAAAACTCAGATTCACACAAAATCCTGTTCATGAGTCTGAAGAACAGCCTCCTTCATACTTGCCCCAAGCTGAGTATAGTCATGATGCTCTTCAACAGGATGAGGGGCAAACTGTGTACATCCTTACAGGACGGACACAAAGGAAACGGCTGAGTCATAAGCTTAAGGCATATTGCCAGCACAAAAGCCACCAAGGAAGCCTGCGTGGCCCCCAAGCACAAAAGCCACTAAGGAAGCCTGCGTGTCCCCCAGGAAGCTGTTGGGTAGAGGGTGCAATGCTTGTATAAGAATAGCATACATAGCTGGTGTGGTTGAAGACTGTTCTTCTGGTGCGCATCCAAGTTCTCAGGTGTTCCAAAGCTGCACATTCACACCTGAGTACAGCATGGTAGGTGCTCTCAATGCCATCGTCCCGACAGGGATGTGTTGGTCGTTCCATAGACATTCTCACTGTTTCCATAGACATTCTCACTGGCGGGGCTGGAGTAGATAGCTCAGTGCGCTG